TTCCAGTGAGACACAAAGCAGTGAACCATAGAGTTCGAACGGTTGTTTATAGTAATAAAAGTATTTTACCTTACTAACTCCAATGTTTGCATTCTGGCCAATCAAGCCATAATATACGCCGGAACTGCTAAACGAGTCCTGAAACAGATTTATGTTAATTGAAACCGAACACGGTATGGAGAAAACGTTTTGCAGAAATACTGCTGCTCGAGAAAATATTAGCCACCGGCAAAAGCCCATATAGCAATGCCGGTATAGCATCAGAATCGCAGTTGAGAGAGGGTGTTCACATTTCTCCTTTCTGAAGTTGATAAATATGATAATGAGCATGATACTGTAATGAGGCAGAATCCTACCATTATAGGGGATATCTAGCTACGGGTACTGTGCTCAAAAACAGTACTTTCGACTGATGGCGTCAGAATTGACTCCGTGATGCTAAACGTACCGCCTATTGTGGAAGTGTGCAGCAAATCATGTTCCATATGTGACGATGGGTAGCGTAGAATGGTCTCGGTGGGCGGTCTCGAGCTTACAGGTCAGCGTTTCGAAATGCCACCTGTGATGCAGGATCTTTCAGGCATAAGCCAACTCTAAGCCGCCTCATGTCACCTCATAAGTAAGGCGAGGCGCTGAAGAAACGAAGACAGTTTATTGGAGCTCAAACCGGTTATGATTCTGAACTCCTGTGATATGGAGTGGAGTCAGCAGCAGCAGACCTACTGCGGGGACAGGTAATCTGCCATCGACGAGGTAGATTGACTGCTAGCTATCCAGTCCTACGAATATGAACTAGGCGGAAAATAGTTGCATATCTTCTCAATTACAGGTATGTACATGAACATTGCGGCTTGCCGCTGTTTTCCATTATTACAAGAGACAGTATGCATAAGCACCCCTCTCTGGACACGATGACGTTGATGATGAAAAATTTCCATCATTTCGGCTGACAAGAGAACGACCGTTAAAAGCCAGAAACGGTCGGAACCATTTTGTAACGTTTATGGCAGGAAAGTCAGGTAACTCCTTTCCTATTTAACGACTATTTGTCATTTATGAGCTTGAAATACAAAGACTGGTGATTCGATCGCTTCATGAGGAAGATCCTCACCAGTTCGCATGATCGTAATGAAAAACGTTATGTTCGTGCTTACGTAATGAATCCGGTCCCTGGCCAGCTGGTTGTAGAATACGCGACTACGCCACGCAGGGCATTTGTTCCGAAGAAATTCGTCGGACTCCGTTTTGCGGTTGAACGCGTACGGGTCAGTGGGAGGGAAGTAAATATTTGCTTCATAAAGCGCTCCCTTGTACGACTCCAACTCGCGGTCGTACTTTCTGATCAGCTGACCGTTGCATGTACCGAACAACCAGTCGTGGAGGTCGCAGAAGTCAAAATGGTTCAAGTCGATGTTATAGATTTTCTATAACACTATGTGCTGCAAAACACGTTGCTCGTAACAACAACAACAGCTTACTCGCCGGGCCCCGTCCATTGCGAAAATATGCTCGATTTCTCCGAACGAGTTTCGGCGCTCGGTGGTCGCCGCTTGATTGTGGAGTGTCTGGTCCTAAAGCATGTTTTGAATCACCGCTACGAAAAGAACAAGCCACTGCTTACATTCAAAAGTTTCGCCTTATCCAGTGACGTGTTGAAGTTACCAGCGAAAAGCGTCAGGTCACTTTTTAGGATTGGCTCTGCACTGAAAGAAAGGCAGCATTCAATCAAATAAGCTATCATCGCTGCTGCTGTCCGTCATACAACACTGATCGGACCGCTTACTTGTCAAGAATTCGGTTCAGCTGTTTTCTCCTTCTATTGCAACTCTCAGATGGCCACTGAAAAAATAATACCATGAAACTGACTGTAGTTATACCGTAAGTAAAAGTTTCAAATTTATGTACTTTTCATCTTTATATGTTTAGCCTACCTCCGCCGTTGCGGCCCCAAGCGCCGATGAGAGAGGAGAAGGTTTAGAGACCCCGGCGAGGTGTTCCGTGAAACTTCATCACCTGACACGTATGGTATTGCCATTATCGAAAGATATACCAGCTAGGTTATACCGCCCGGGTTACCCATGACCGCCAGGCTGTTGGGAAACTAAGGCAGACTGAGAAAGTTGGCGACCAGTGCCTGCTTCTTTCCGGCTGGAGACTGGCAGATGAGGACTTAGCAACATGGCAAAGATGCCATCGAGCAACGGAGCAGTTATCCGTTCTGAACGAAGGAGGCGACAGAGCAATGTCACCTCAACACGTGAGATAAGGCGCAAAGGGAACGATATCGACAATCGACACTAGCAGTTGGGAATTGGAACATATCCTCACTCAGAGCGAAAGACAGCAGCTGATCAGGCCAGAAGATGCCGAATGATATTATTGGGCGAAGCGCCAGGACTCTAGAATTCTGAACCTCTGCGAACGGAAGCTACTCTGCTCAGATAATCGACATATCAATGGTGATCAGGCGGGCGTTGGTGTTCCGGCAGAACCCAATCTGGATGGCCAGATCATTCAAAGAAAGCCTTTCAGTGGAGATATCTGATCTTCTTGTAGCTATCTGCACCCAAGTCACAATGAGAACATGATTCCTTCCTGAAGGACGTAGAACACGCTCTGTACGAAGTTCCGATCACCGAATACACCATGTCAATGGAACATTTCAGTGAGCATGTCCGACTAGACGTGATCTGAAAAAATGGCCTTAGCGACCTCC